CGAGATTTGGTTGGAATCTGAAACCTGGTGCATGATCCAGAGGGAGTGATGGGAGTTTTACCTGCAGCTCTGGTCATCACCACTATAGGCTTTTAAAATAACTTCTTTAACTTTCTAAAGTTACTCTTACTTCCATTTTAATATGCCAGATTAAAATGAGAAAACCCACTGATAACATTTCCTTCCATAAGGAGAAGGAAACAGCCATTCATCCCAAGAATAGTTACTTTAGTGTGGAGGGTGGAGAAGGGGGATCAAAGTATCATCAGTTGTCTTTGAGGAGATTTCAGTTTCAGATGCAATGTGAGAAGCTGCACAGCTTTCTGGGGACAGCAAGAAATTATTTTAGCTGTGCTGGTTTGCTCTGGAATAAAGGAATCCTGAACTGGTAGAGATCATCTCAAATAACATGATCATTTTAGGGAAGTTTGGCATTTAATAAATCATTAGTCTTCCCTCTGTATGATCAGCCTTCAATTCTGAAGTGGACTATCTCAGGTTATGAAGCACATCCACACTGGGATGTGGAGGCAGAGTCCTGGTCCTTCTTCAGCTAAATCAGATTGCTTCTTTCCAAACAAACCGCGTTGGTCTACACTGAAGCACATCTTTAGTATTTGTACCATGAATCAGCTTTGAATCTTACAGACAGAGTCTGCTCTGAAATGGGAATAGCATTCCTCAAAATGGTATTAAAACTAAACCTTGGTGGTGATTTGAAGATGCTCTGAAGTGCAGGAGTTTTTCAAACCAAGAAATTGCTGAGCATCTGATCAAGAAGGAAATGACAGAGAAAGATTAGAGGAGAATCATTATTAACTGACATGGGATAAGAAAGCAAGTTGGGAAATTGGCAATTTTCTTCGATCTTAAAGCAGTTAGACTGGGGGAAAAAATCATCAGTGGGGGTGTCACCTGGTGGAGTGTCTTCTAGCTCTCTTTCTCCCGTGAAATCCCGGCAAAGTTGCAGCTCATGTGTGTTCTAGCTGGACACAAGGCTGAGTATGGCAGCCCTGCGAGAAGCACGAGTGTTGTACAGTCTTGGCCTGGTGCCAGTTTGCTGAACCTTCTTCTGAGATTTCAGGCAAGCCATCTCTCTTCTGCCATTTCCCATCACTTTTCCCTCTCTGAAATTTATTTTTGGGTGTGACTTGACCTGTGGCATCACGTTCAATTGCCTAAAACCAGAGGCAGACCTAGCCCGGGAATTGTCTGTGGAATTAGTTTGTACTCTGGTTTGCCTGTCAGTAAAAACTGTGGTGTCTCTTGGGTTCCCTAAAGAGATTTCTTTCCTTAGTTAGCATTTAAGTACTGATGGACAGGACTTGTGGACAGCTGTAATGCTCCAACTGCTGCATAACAGCTACTTCTGCAGCTGCTTGGGCGATACAGTTGATGTGGCATGGACATGTTAAGACAAATTTAGCAGAATTCTCTAATTTTTGAAGAAAGACTCATGTAAACTTTAATCAGGATTTGAAGTGCCTATAGCTCTGTTTGGAAAATTCTGCTCTTTTTGCGGTCTTAGATGACACTTAGTTATGTTTTCCAATAAACAGTCATTTGCAGGTGATGAATTTTGATGTTTCCTAAAGAGAACAGTAAAACTACTGTTCTTGACATTTTTTTATTTGTGTACTTTAAACATAAAATGAAAAATTAAGGAAGGCATCTTGAATGAGAAGAGCTCGCAAAAAGGAGGTAATGGATGTTTCACTTTGTGCCTTTGGAGTTGAGTCCAGCTGGTGTTTTCTTAAGAGGTTTTTGAAACAGCAGTGAGCTTGGATGTAGGCCTGAGCAGAGGGAAGGAAGTTTATTCCTAAACTTTGCACTATTTGGTAATCCTGGTGGTTGTGAACAAGCTTTGGTTTGTGTGGAATATGGAAGTGTCCTTGGTTGATTCTTAATCATATGTAATTGTGTTTCTAAAACAGGGATTTTTTCATACTGCTGTATGCTCCGGCTTTGTAAGTTTAAAAAGAAAATTCTTTACACTATGGGCTGGTATTGATAGTTCCCAAACTAAAGCTACAGTTTTACAGCCTAGATTGAGCATGACCCAATTAATTTGAGTAAGTCACTAGAACCTAAGTTCTGCCTAATTGGAGAGGAATACATGGCCCAGTTCAAAATGACATTTTTAAGGCTAGATTATTTTTTTTTGTCAGTTTGTACTTACAGTACTGGGGCCATGTAGTGTCCCAGCTGCACTGCATGCAGGTCATGAAAGTGTGCTGGTGTAAACAATTGCTGTCGTCTCAGAAGATACAAAAGGTTAACAAGATGTTTGTGCTGCACAGGGCAGTTTGACATTCAGGTTTCAGTGGTGTGAATAAATCCTTTGATAACAGTGATTCTGGGTATTTTGCAGGTTCTGTGGTGATAACCAAGAGGATTTTATGAAAGGAGCCAAAGCTTTGGATAGGGGCAGAGCATGGGATTCTTCAGGAAGCTTTTGTTTGAAGTGCTTCAGTTCCAGCACAAGGCAGTTGTGGAAAGACTTACACAATCTATTGAAAAGACTCCAGGTGGCTGCATGTACTGATCCAATAGAGAACTGACATTTGTGTGAAAATGAGAGGCTTTGGATTCTGCCAAAGGACAGTGTAGTGTTGTTTGCAGTAGCAAACTTGTGAAATATATTTAGTGTTGAATTTTTGTTTATTCTCTTGAAATGAGGAAGAGATGCTGCAGCGAGGATGAGGCACACCCCACCCATTTCCATGTGATGGAAGGCTTGCCTCAGTCTGTGTGTCTTGCTTCCTGCTGTGGTTTCCCTCCACAGCCTGACTCTGACACACTGTCTTTGGCCTCTTTGTCTCTCTCTTCCCTCCTCCTCCTCACAGAAGACTGCGCTTAGCTGATGGGGCACAGCCCTAACCTGGGGCCCTTGGTTTAATTATCATGAACTACAGCAAAGACAGAAACTCTATCCAAACTACTTCTCACTGATAACTTTTTTCCCCGAGTGTGGTTAATGCGGTTTGTCAAACCAGTCTCAGAAGCTGAAGGTATTTTCTGCATGACTGTTACTAGAACTATAAGTTAACTAAAAAAAGAATCAATTTGTCCTTGAATGCCAGAATCCTGGCCCCCTCCCTCCCCAGCCAGACAAAACCCAGAAACCACTAAATGTAGCAAATGCAAGGGTTTGAAGACAGAAATAGTCTGACAACCAGGAACTGTTATCTAACCGAGCAACCCCTCTGTATTAAGAGCCTTGCACTGAGGAACAACTGATTCTCACATCCTAAAACATCCCCTTGTAGAACAGCTATGAGAATTAGTTCTTTAGTTTTGTTTCATTCTGTCTTTGTATTCTTGAGAAAGATGTTCTATGTTGTGTTATTTAAAAAGATGTCCCGGGCATCCCCTCTTAAACCATGAAGCCCACCTTTCTCATTAACACTGGAATGAAGGTGTGACCATCTGTTCCCCGCCAGACACCTGCAGTGCTTTCTGCACATCTCTGTAAATGCATCATGAGGCTGTAAGGGTGTATTGTGCTGCTGTCACCAAGCTTTCCTCATGGTGGCCTTTCTGATGTTCCTCTAGTCTTAATTTACAGTTTAGAGAGACGTGTGACAAGACTCAGCACAAGTTTAAGCCAGTGAGCAGGGGCAGTGCTGGTGACCAAAGTTAAAGGGCTGCTTTCCTGCGGAAGGCACAGCTCGGTCTCTGCCTGCTCCAGAAGGGATTATGTGGATGATGAATCTCTCTGAAGATGAGTTTAATCAACAGATCAGTAAAGAGCCCATGAAGAGAGAAAACTGAGTGATCATATTTCCTTTAAGAAGAGCACTGAGACTTCAAACACCATTCCAGGAAAGATGTGTATCACATCCTCATAGCAAAAATTAAGCCTGCATGTATCTCAGACAGGAACACAGCTGGAAGATTATTTAAGTGTGTTAAGAGCCAGAATGTGAGGTCTGTTTCCTTTGGATGAGATCTCAATGAGTTTTGACAGCAAACTTAATGCAGTCATCTGCAAAGGTGGGCTTGTCTTGACTTTACAGATCCTTAAAAATCACTTCAATGAAGACAGCCTGACATTAAAAAAGAACAAAAGAACTGGCATCTCTTCCTTGGTTTTACATTATAATGGACAGCAAATATTGTCCTATGATTGTGCCTCACCATTAAATAGCTCTTCCATCTCTGCTTAGGTGGATTTTTTACCTGTAGGAACACATGGATGTTTGACCACATAGCCCAAAGGACCAAAATGCTTGATCCACTGTCCTTCCTACCGAATCTTTGGTCCAGGGTTGGGTTGAGAGTCTATTTAGAAAACAAGTGAGAGGAACACTTGTGATTACAGCAAACACTTTACAGATGGGAGATGAGAAGTCACAATATGCCATGGAGATAAATGTCTTGTATGGCATGTGGTTTCTGTGCTTTTATAAATGGAAGGTTATTTCATAAATGCATTCGATTTCCAAGGGTTTTCAGAAAAACATGAACTCAACTCTTTCTGTCCCAGGTAACCCTAGAATTGCGAAAACAGGTATTTTTGTGCTTATCACTGCTTTTAGCTGGAGTCACAGACATTCACTTAAGAAGCCTTCTGATAGGGCTGGAGAGCAGGGAATGCTGTAGGCTTTGAAGGAGCAGCACCAGCTTTTCCAGCTGTCTTCTTGCAGCAGCCAGATTTGCTGTTTCTCAGACTCCTGTTCTGCAGGTGAGCAGGAGCTGCCCATGTGAGCACCAGCGCAGCAGGTTGTTGGTGCTCACATGGGCTCCTTCAGGCACAGAGCTTGTCACCACTGTTCACAGGCCTGAGGAGAGACCAGTGCTCTCCCAGGAGTTTGTAATCTCATCTGGCCAAAGGGCAGCGGAGATGGAGCAGCAAAATGAAGCTGCTGGGGAAGGGAATGCAGGAGGAGCAGTGTAAAGGCAAATACAGGAGTTTGGATGAACCAGCTGCCTTCAGGTTTCTGTAGCTGTTCAACAGTAGAACTAACCCCACTTCTCTCTTTTTTAATCTTTTGCAGGAAGTCCAAGGGAAAGCCAAATGGTAAGAAGCCAGCACCAGAAGAGAAGAAGCTTTACCTAGAGCCAGAATACACAAAATCCAGAATTACCGATTTCGAGTTTAAGGAACTAGTGATGTTACCACGGGAAATAGACCTCAATGAGTGGCTTGCCAGCAACAGTGAGTATTATGTTCATACAGCTCTAAGCTTGCTGTCCATCCTCAAGAGGCCATTCATTCACTCTTTTTGCTGTTTTCAGTGCTTAGAGAAACACTCAGTGACTGTTTATGCTTACTGTGTAATGCATGTCATTATACCTTGAGTGGTAATTAAGCTGTCTCACGCACAGCCCAGCTGTGCTCAGCAGCATGAAAGCCTTGATGCATTTCCTCCTTCCAGCCTCCTCCCTGTGGCACTGAGGGCACTGCAGTTTGGATGCTCCTTGCAGAACCATCAAGATCCCCGTTGACTGCTTGCTAAACTGGCTGGTTCTGCATGTTTCTGACTCCAGCTACTGATCTTCCAGAAGCATTGTAAAAATGGAGTTTCTAAAGACTTAAATGTAAAGCAACTTAGGCCTAAAGCCAGAAGTTGTGAAGTCTTTTGGTCAGATTTTTTCCTCCCCACTCCTTCCAAATCTTGGTTGAATTATTGTGGATTTCAACAGGCTGAAATTCAGAGGTGTGACCAGCTACTGTGACTGAATGCTGTCCCTGTGCACTTCAGCCCTGACTTGCTGTGCTTTCCTGGGCTACTCCTGCCTGTCCTCACCTGCATCTGTGGCCCACTCTTGTTTATGTTTTCAACAGTGTGTGGTAGAAGCAAGAAACTACTTTAAAACTGCATGCTAGGAAAGTTTATAGACACTCATTAAGAAAAAGTGAGGCACCCCATGAGAAGTATTAAGAAGTTAAATTATCTCAGGAGATTTTTAAAAAGTAGAAGTGTACTAGGTTTCATGCTGCTTGTTTTTACAAGGAGACATATTTTGAAAACTAATAGTGCTGTTTTCTAGCCACTGTAGATTTTAAGTCTGACTTCAAAAGAATGTAGCAAATTGTTTGCCTTCAGCTTATAGCAGAGTATTCTACTGTAAAGGTGAGGCTGATGACGGAGACACTTTCCAGTCTTGCTGCTTTGTGAGTAATAAGAGCTAATGCATCATGGTGCTTTCATCTTAAATCAAAACAAGAGCTTTCATTCTGTGTACCTCTTTGTTTTGCAGTTCATCATTAGGCTCATTTAGCTAAATCATGGTTAAATTTGTATGCAAGCTCAAGACTGAGGTTGTTTCACTTGCTGTATTTAAATAATTGTCTGGAGGATAACCAGTGTTTGAAAGGATTTTACTTCTGAATTCTTTCCTTTGTTTATTTTTCAGCAACAACTTTCTTTCATCACATCAACTTACAGTATAGTACAATCTCAGAATTCTGTACAGGAGAGTCATGTCAGACCATGGCAGTGTGCAATACGTAAGTCAATATTTTCATTTGTTACATGTGCAAGGTTTCCATGTCTTCAGTGTCTCCTGGGGGAGGATATTGGTGTTGGATGGCACCGGGCAAGTGTTTACAGCAGGTCTCTACTTGTTGAGAATGTGTCAGCTGTGCATCCTCTCCCTTCAGCAGGGAATGTGATGGAAATCTGTTTTTGTGGAGGACTAGAAGGCTGAGAATCTCTGAGTGCTCTGAGCTGGCTTTATAAGGTCAGATCAGAGAGGCAAATGACCACGTGTGTGCTTGGGGGAGAGGGAAAGGAGGGTGTTAAGGGAACTTCCTTGTCTGACCATCAGGAGCCACTGTGGCAGTCAGTTGTGAGCTGGGACCAAGGCCCCTGCGCAGCTACACACCCCACACTCACTCAGGCCAGCTTTTTTCACTGGCTTGACCCAGGTTTTCCATAGCAAAGTTTTGGGGGTCCAGATCCTTAAAATTAACTTGGTACAGTAACTAAATAACCTCAGAACAGCTCAATCCTGTGCCTCCAGGGAGGGGCCCCAAACAAAGGGAATTCTGGGCTTTTATAGCCTCACAGTTGAAAAAGCCTGAGTGAGTCTTGGGGTTGTCAGCTCCTGCTGTGTCCCTGAGTGTCACCTGGCTGGGTCACAGGTGCCCATGTCCTTTGCTGTGGCCCTGCCATGCAGAGCTCAGCCCTGAGCCTGCAGTGCAGCTGTACCTGCACAGAGTGTGCTCCTGAGCAAGGGCAGGGCAGGACTGTCTGTACTGGTCACAGTGCTGCGGTTCCAGAGAAGGCAGGGCAGGGGAGGTGAGTTGTGAAAACCTCAGAGTATTCGTCTGAGAGCTGGAATGCTGACACAGCTCCAGGCTGCTGGTGGATAACCTCTAGCCTGACATGAGCCCCTGGGCACAGAGGACACAAGTGGCAGCTTTGCAAGAGTAAGGAAAACTTTTGGTTTGGCATTTTTCTGCCTCTAGAACTTAGAAGACTTTAACATGGACTAGCAGTTAGCTCTGGAAGAAAGCTTTGTAGTGTTACTGGACAGTGTGAATATCAGAAAAGTTACGATAAACTTCTGCTCCTGATGATCACAGTCCAACATGGTTGAATATGAGATCTAGTCAAGTATGAATATGCCTGTTGTGTTTTGGGTTTTTTTCCCTCCAACATGTGTTGATAGTCCTTTTCTTCCCTTCTCTTGCATTTCCAGGGATTAATTTACTTGAAATGGATTTTAAAAGAGACGACTGGGCAGTAATGTCATAGTACATCAAACAACATCCCAGGGCATGTATGCAACAGAACCTCTATTTTGTGTCTCTGACAATCATTACATAATTCTTAGAAGAAAAGCCTTGCTTAATGTACTGGTCTATCTTGTAGACTTGAAGTTAATATCAGGGGCTTTCTTTTGAGAGCACTTAAAAGCATGTAAAGTGTATGGAGGGTATTTTTGCATGTAGAAGGAGGAATGATAGCTGTCAGAGAGTTAAAGGCCATGCTAGAGACTTTGAAACCAAGCTGGAAGAGAAGGTAATAAATCTCTGCTGGACCCAGATTTTATCAAAAGGAGACAGCCTGTCTCTAAATAAGAAATGGTGAGCAGTAAGATGAGTATTTTGTTGATTCTTGTTCCCAAGCATGCTCATGTTTAAATTCCTGATGTAGCACTGGCAGTCCCAAGCACAGAGTTCAGCTGTTTATCCACTTGGCTGGTGGGAAATAGTGGCTAAAAGGTGGTGGTGATTTGGGAACCTGCATTAGTGTTGCTCCATTCTGCTCTACTGAGCCTTTAACAAGAGTTTTCTGTAAGCACCTTGTGCTGCAGAATAAAGAGAGGAAGTGCCTGTAGGCAACTGCAGCTGTAGCCTGTATTTTTAGTGTTAGGAACTGATAGCAGAATGTTCCTATCCTTTGTTTTGGAAAACTGAAAAATGGTGCTATTTGGGAATAACAGGAAGCATGTCTACACTTGGGTGAAGCACTTGAAATGGCTTGTGTGTAGCTAAATCATAACAACCTCAGTACCTTCCTGTACTTGGGGGCAGGTGGCTGATTCACATCTGCACACTGGAGGCTGCTTGCTTCTAGCAGATGTGTGGGTCTGTGAAAAAGCCACCAAGGTGAGATCAGCTGCCTACACACCTCAGCACAGTTCAGCTCTGTGGGCCCCTTTCATAACCCTGTTCTCCAGATCCTGATCTTTTTGTGCTGCCTTTCCTAGCTTTGGTAAGCTGAGTATCTGCTTGTTGTGTTGGAGAAGCATCAGTTGCTGTGGCTCATTGTGCCTTGGACCTGTCTCCAGTGTTTAAAGAGAGACACCTGAACACTGGTGTCAGTTGCTGATTAACCTGGGGGACACTGCAGGCTTAGCCTTCTGTGGCTGTGATCTGTTTGTTGCTCTCATTTGGAGTAAAATAGCATTTGGCTATATAAGATTGCCATAGAATTACAGTACCTTGGAATTAAGGTGCAGTTTGCCATTGTTTCCCATGCTGATTTCTTGGGTAGTTCCATATGAAAGTCTGCATTCTGTTCCACTTTTATATTTTCCCTGCTGTGTACTTTATTATACATTTTGGATCACACCATTCTGGTCATGCCTAAGAAAGGCTTTTTTTATTTATGGTTGAGATGTTCAAGTAACTACTGAGAACTGGTTGCTTGTCAAGTTACTTGACATTCAGATTGCACTGCAAGTACCCAGTCCTAAATTTAAAGTATTTGCTGGCACAATAAGCACTGGTTGAAGTTAAATATTTGAGGTAAGGTTTTAACATCTGAGAGAAGCTGCAGCCAAGTGACAAACTGCAGACAGATGCAGCTTTCAGCCCTCTGTCAGATACATGAGATAGCACAGCCATCTGCACACAGCAAGGAGGAGAATTTCTGCTTACGGTCACTAGGAGACATCTGACCAAAACTTAGTCTCAGTGTAGAACAGATGGAAGCATTTGCTGGCAAGGTGGGATAATGCCAAGAGAAATACCATAGTGGCCAGTTATCCTCAAATTTTAATGAGGGTGAATGAATACAACTTTGGGAATTACTTAATTTTGCTCATTAATATGTTTATCACTTGTTGTAAAGCAGGTACTATATTTTAACATGATATTTACTATTAAAATTTAGTGTGCTTTATAGCTTATTATTACACAAACCAGCTTTAAAGCACCCTGAGCTATAAAATGATTTTCTAGCTGACATTTAGGTACAACTCCTCAAAGTGCTGCAGTGAGTGTAATAAATAAGAGCCTGTGTAAGTGCTGTACATAAAAGAATAAGTCTACAAAACTCCCGAGGCAGAAATGAAGAATGGATGCAAACTTTCAGGAAGCCCACCTTTCAAAATGTTTTTGTCCAGTGAAATCCCTTAATTGGTAATGCTTATCACTCTTTTTTTTCCTAATCTTAGTCTCTTTTCTCTTGTTTATCTTGCCCTTAGTGTCTCTGCATAGGGAGGGGATTTCCTCCTAGAGTGCTTAACTCAAATCTGTACATTTTACATTTTCTTACATTTAAGTTCCCCCAGCTATATGATTTTACATGATGCCTCCTTTCTCTTCTCTGCCATCCAAACACTGCTTAGCCCCTGTGAAGCCATCAGAGCTGTTCAGCTACTCACAAGCACTGTACTCCTGCCTCTGCCTCTCTATCCTGCTTTCTTCATGTTGCCTGTTTTATGGTATTTCTACCAGGACTGTCTCTCCTTCCTTTCCAGGCAAAATAATTTCCACTGTATATGCTTTTCCCTCCTTCCAAAAGCCTTTGTTGTATATTAGTGTAACTCCTGTTCTGCCTTGGATTTTGTGTCATCAACACCAGCCCAGAATGTTTTAGAGGAAAAGGGATAAAGTACATAGATATATTAAGATGCAGTATTGTGATTTCACATATGTTAAGCTTCATTATTTGTATCACAGGCTTTTCTCTGGTAAACCCATAGTCATTTCTCCCTGGGATTTGGAACAGAGCTGCAGATTCTTCATACTCTCCATACTGGGGAGATTTAAATCTGCAGGTTTTGAAAAGTGCCCTTAAGTCTCATCCTCATGTCCTTTCTGCTTCCCATCCATTCCCTAATATGGGGCTGTGCTGTCACAGTGCCAGTGGTGGAATGCAATTAGGCTTCTGTGCCCAAGTGAGCCCTTGCGTGGCCCCAGAGTGCTCCTGTGCTGTTGGTGGAGATAACTGCAGCGTGGGTGGGAGCCCTGTACCAGGTGCGAGGTGTTCATGGCACGTCAGGGGCTCGCTCCTCTCTGCCCCTGAGAGCTGGGAATCTGTTCAACAGCACCTGGAACATGAGGAAAACACATGACTCTAATCAACAGGACAGTCCCTGTAGTTAGCCCCTTACTGTTAATGATTCTCCTGTTTAATTCCAGGTTTGCATAGTAATTTCCTAATTTTCAGGAAAAGGCAGAAAGGCTGGGCAGTGGGATGCTAGAGGAGATTTATTCACTTACATGAGAATATAAGTGAACTTGTACAGTTGCCAAATTGTTTCGAGTAAAATCCAATTATCAACACTCAGCTTTGCACCTAAGGGCAGCTCTAAACTGTGCTTTCTGTCTTGCAGTTGAGGATTCCTGCAGCATGAGAGAACTGCTGGGGTAGAACAGTGATCTTGCCTCTGCTTCTGATGACAAGCACTGTCTTAAGACCCAGAATAAGGCAGAATTGCCTGAGTCTGTCTCTCTCTGCAGGAGTAGGCAAACAAGGTTGTGTTGGTGCACTACATTGTGTAATTCCTTAGAGGTGGATTGTACAAAGGAAGTGAACAGTGGTGAAGAGCACAGTCTGTGCCTAAGGGCCCAAGTGCTGGGTTTGATGCCTGACATAGCTCTGAAAAGAAATTTTGACTCCTGCTGTTTTCACTCACTCACCTTTTTACTCAATTTTGCAGTCAATCCTTTTCTCTCTAATAAAGGACAGAGTGACCAAATACTACATAGTGAAAAGGAGCTGAAAGAAAAATTCTAAAACCTTACTTTACCTTTCCTCTCCTAACTTGAACTATTCTAGTTATTTTTGCAGCTTCCTCTTGTTTTCACATGGCTTGGGGCATGGACTGTGAATAGTGTTATTGGGGAAGACCAGTACAACGGATTTCTTACCAGCCCTATCATGATATAGGACTGTGTCTTGAGCTTAGACTTTCTGAAGGAAGTTCATAAACTGGAACTCAGGGCTCTTCTAATGTGACATAGGAATAAAAACTTAAAAAGTGTTTTCCTGAATTCTTTATCTGTAAAACATTTTTCTCTGTCTGCCTAATCAAGTGGGTGGATGCTCTCAGTAGCAGTTAGAGATGCTTTAATTAACCATGACTTTTTCTTAAAAAGGAACAAACATTTAGTTGTTTTGTAGCCTTCAGATTGTCTGTCAGCTGAAGGATGGCTTCAGTTAATCAAAGTTATTATGGCTAACTGATTGAATTATGGTTGCTTTTGGAGAGCTAGTATCTCCTGGTAAAATGCAACAGGAATATTCACTGATGGCAGAATCACACGTAAATTCAAGTGTTTGGGGGAAACTGTAACTGTAACCTAAGGAGCAGAGTTCACTGCTGGCATGGATGTGCAGAAGGGGCCTGAAAACTTCCCTCGGGGCTGCATTTTGGAACAGGATTTGGACCACCTGAAATCACGGCCAGTGCTGGAGAGCCCCAGGCTGGGAAAGGTGGTGTTCTGGAGCCACCGTCTGACTGTTTCACAGTATTGCACGACAGAACTAATTCATGCTCTCTGATGTTAGGCATCAGAAGTTCATCAGTTCGTCACTGTGCAATGTTGTTGCTCCTTAAATATAGTTCAGTAATGCTTTCCTGTACATTTCCACAGACTGTATGTAAACCTGTCATGGATAGGGAACCAGAACTCCTCAGCAGAACTCCTCCCCTTGCAGTCTTGTTCAGCAAGGCTTTCTGTGCTTGGTGCTGCCACCTGCACTCTGGCCTAGACTGACAGGGAGAGACAAAATCGGCCAACACAAGTTCAAGTTCTTCAATGCAGAAAGAAGTGAATCTCCTCTGTAGCAGCTGCTGTTTTGTATTACTTGGACAGAGCCCCTTGGAGGAGTAGCTGAGGAGCAGAGTGTGATGTGGTGACCCTGTCCCTTCTCTCCACAGACAGTACTACTGGTATGATGAGCGGGGAAAGAAGATCAAGTGCACTGCTCCTCAGTACGTTGACTTCGTCATGAGTTCGGTGCAGAAGCTAGTGACAGATGAGGACGTCTTTCCAACGAAATACGGTACGGCTGCTGCCTGGGGCTCTTGGGGTGCCATCAGTCAAGGGACAGTTGGTATTCTTCTGTGGATAACAGACAGCTTTCTCACCTTTGATGGGTTTTAGTTTGGTTTCTTTTGTAGTTTTGGTTGTTTGGGGTTTTTTTAAGGAAGATTATAATTTTGGTTGATGGCTGCAGTAAAAGAAGACTTACCCTCTTAGATGTGTGAACCAGGGTGAAAGTCTCACAAACCTGACCCCTTGGCCTATAGCTCATCATCAGTACTCCTTTTTCTTCAGGCATTTTGAGATGATCTAGCCTGGACTTATTGAGGATAAAATTCTGAAAACAGTCAGCATTTGTGTGTTCAATACAGTTTGTTGATGGCAAACTTCAACCTTTGTGTGGCTTTACTATTTCCATTAGAGCCTCAATGCATTAAGAAATGTGGGTAATAAATTGGATTGCAGCAATGTGGCTTGCTTTCTTTGCCCAAGGCTCTGCATTGTCTCTCATAGTGTTTGCAGTCTCCTTTCCCATACAAAGATTAAATAAGAATGTGATTTTTAGAGCTGAAAAGCAATAGCAAAGTAATTTTATCTCAAATTTGTATCCTAACAAGATTGCTACATGCAATGCCTTTGGTTAAGGGGAAGAAAATAGAAACTTGAAGCTATTGTAGGTGGGCTTAATCAGAACTAAAAGCAGCTGGCTTCATGAGCCACTTCAAGAGGTAATTGGGAAACTAGGACATTACAATATAGAAAACATTAGGCTGGCAGCCTTTGCTTACAAAAGAGGTAGTTTCTTTCCCCTTTGATAGAATTTCAGTATGTTCAAGGGAACATGGTATATAAAGTTATGTACAAACTGCCACATGCCACCAAGGCCCTTGTACCTTGGCTTCCATTTTAGGATCTCTGAACTGATGTTTCAGGGGAAAATTCACTCCTGGACAAACTAGATAAGGACACAGAAGAACATCTCATTTTTTCAGCCTGTAGCTAAAAAGGTAGTGGCTTTAGAGAAGAACTACACTTGCTGCCTGATTTTTGAACCATTAAGGTTTAAAATTTAAATTCAAATGAAAATGCATAATATTTGCCTTAGCCTTGTCCCCCAAATTCCTATCAAAAGAAGGTGATATGACACAGGGCCCTCAGGTTGTTTGCTGTGTAAGTTGGGCGGGTTGCTCTTACCCAGGTGCTGCTGTGGGGCTGACAGCGAGCAGCTCGTGCTATCATGGTGTTTCTCCATCTTCCTTTCAGGCAAGGAATTCCCAAACTCATTTGAGTCCCTAGTGAAGAAGATCTGCAAGTACCTGTTCCATGTGCTGGCCCATATCTACTCCTCACACTTTAAGGAGACTTTGGCACTGGAGCTGCACGGACATTTAAACACACTCTACACACACTTTATCCTATTCATCAGGGAGTTCAACCTCGTGGACCCTAAAGAGACCACCATCATGGATGACCTCACAGAGGTCCTCTGCAGCAGCAGCGGGAGCAGCAGTAACGGGAGCGGCAACGGGAGCAGCAACAGCGCAGGAGCACAGAACCACGTGAAAGAGAGATGAGCCCTCCTCCTGGACCCAAACTAACATTCTGAACAGTATAATCTATTGTGTGTATGTGTATGTATATGTTCAGATATACATACTGGCATATACCGTGATGAAAGCTGACCGATGCGATGCTGCCACGCAGGACGCGCAGTCGTTCGGGGCTGTACGGAGCTTTGGGTTCTTGCGCCAGCCGGCGAGAAGTTGCACCAATTTTATTTTATTTTCTGTCCACTCCTCCTTTTACCTATTCAGATGGATGATGAGTGCTGTTTTTAGAGAAGAGCCAAGCTTGAGAGTGGGGCCACTCTTGGTTTTTTTGTTTTGTTTTGGTTTTTTTTCTCTTTTTGTTTGGTTGGTTGGTTTTCTGTTTTTCTTTCTTTGGTCTTGAGTGCAAGCCCTTTGGTCTTTCTAGGATGGTGATCCTGCCATTTAAAAAGTATCTATTATATTATAAGAAGTAACTTTTACTTTGAAGTGGCTTAAAATGCAGGTTTGTTTGGGGTTCTTTTTGGGGGGGGTGGGGTGGTTTTTTGGTTTGGTTTTACATAGACTGCCCCTTACCCTGCCAAAAGCTCCCCTACTGAGTGCATCTTGCCCTTTGTTAGCGTGGAATAGGAAGAAACTCCTGGCTTGACTAGAGTAGCAACTAGGATCTTGCTACATGTTGAAAGTGGGCAAGATTCTCCAGTTGTCCCATCTACTCAGTCACAAGGTGTGAACATGCAAGAGGATCCACAAACCTTTCTGCTTATTGCTCCTACAACATATATACTCTTTTCTCTGCTCCCCTGCCTCTTCTTTTCCCAGGCACACCTGCACAGGTAACAGGAGTGGGATCACTGCGGTCCAAAACCATGTGCAAGAGTCACCACCATTTGCTTTCCCTTGAACAGAGGCCCGGGGAAGGGGGGAGAAGGGTATACTGAGTCAGTCACCGCCTGTGCTAGAAAGATGGCTGTTGGCATAAAATTATATTGTTGGCTTATTTTAGTTCATCTGTTCTATAATAATAAAAACAAATCTATCAGCCACAAGCTTTGTTTTCATGTGTGCAGCGTCAGAAGTCACTAGACCCCCACTCCTAGAGCCTCCCTTCCACCACTGAATGCTGCTGCCCTGCTGGCAGCCAGCTTTATAAATAATGGGTTGTTTTCCACCCTGTGATCTTACACTTATTATTATAATCCCTTGCTTTTTCCAGTAGCCCTAGGAACAGCCTCCCCAGGAAATACAAAGATAAGCACCTCTTGGAGAGGGGCAGGTTTCCTCTTTGTGCACACATCCAATCTGGAAATGCAGTGAGATCCTGGATAACTTGAAGCAAATACTGAACCACAGCATCTCTGGATACAGTATTACATCAGTACTGTATCTGGACAGTGATATTCCTTTCTTTCCTTCAAGTTTCCAATGAATTCTTGCAGTCATTGTTTCCAGCTGGGGAAATGCCAGATTTTGCTTGTATTTGTTCTTCTGTAAAAGCTGTCAAAGCTACTGGTTTTGGTCATTACCTGAGGCCTATGAATGATTAATAACTGACCTGGCATAAATCTGAGAAGGTTTTCCAGAATGAAGTCTGCACCTGTCTTAAAAAGGTAGTAGAGAAGAGGAAGGTAGAACAAGTGCAAAGAAAAAAGCAAAGGAAAAGCACAACTAAGGGGTGAAATTAAAAAAAAATTTTAAAAAATAAAAACATAAACCAAAGAACAAAGCATGAGCAAGAAAGGACAAAAAGCAAAAGCACAAGCAAGAAAAAAGCTTGTGAAGAAGAGGGCAATAGCAACAACAGATAATGACAAGTGTTCAAATGAGAAAAAGATTACATCATGAAAGTGACATAAAGAGCAGCAAAAAGGCATGAGCACAGGAGAAGGGAAGAGCAGGAGTGAGGGCTGGGTGGAGGGATTGAAAGCAACCTCAAAACTTGTGATGCCAGACTTGTCCTGTTTGTTTCTGGATTGTGGACACCTCTCACTGACCTGCTCAGGTGAGTTGCTGTTAGTGTAGTGGTCAGGAGCACTCCTTCCCCGCCATGTCCTCCTGCTGCAGCCTCCATTCCAGACAAATGTTCCCATTCAGTCCCCATGCTGATGTGAGCCTTTCCATGACCATTCCCTGCACTTAAGTCTGGAGGGAAAAGCAGGAGTCAGCAGAAGGAACAGTGCCATTGTTAAGGCCCCTCTGCTTCTTGCCCTGAGAATAAAGTTCAAGAAAATGAGCAAGAAACAACCAGTCAAACCCAAGTGACTTCTGGTAATTCACAATCTTCCTGTAAAAATGCACTTGCAGTTATGTTTGCTAAAAGACCATTTACAGCTGAAGACTTTGAGAAAGGTTTGACTTGAACAAGAGGCAGTTCAACCCTGGAAAGACTGACCTGGCTTCAGCTCTTGAATTTCCAGTCACAAGGCGGTGATGTCCACGTTGAACAAAAGGGGGACTGTGCTTTAGCTTCCCATTGGAGAACTGGCAGAACCTCGTAGCAAGTCTGGGAATGCACGTGTTGGCTCCAAGCAGCAAACAGTGCAGCTGCCAGGAGAGCAGTGCAGTCCCACAGAACAATGCAGCTGCCAGGAGAGCAGTGCAGTCCCACACAGCAGTGCAGCTGCCAGGAGAGTAGTGCAGTCCCACGGTACCTCTGGAGGAGCCTGCTGCTGTTCATGGCAGCTGTCCCAGCTTTGCTCTGCAGGCATTTGCTATTCCTGAAAGCACAGGCGCTTCCTCTGCCGGGGTAATCGCTTTATATTTTACAAGCGGTTAACAAGAACACAAATAATGAATCCTGTTGTAGTGTGGCCTATCTTGTTGGGTTTAGCAGTGGGAATAAGGAAAACACTGAAATGGCGCCAACACCAATGTTCTTCTAAATGTTACTGTAAAGCTCAGCCCGAAGGCATCCCAGGGTATTGCAGTGCTTACTGAATTACACTGTAGGAACTTCAGATACAGAAATGCCACTCAGCCTTCAGAGCTTGTCACTGACTTCCTCCCATGCTTGGAACATGTCACCAATGCCCACACTGTGAGCACTGGGTCTGAATTCACCTGGGACTAACAGGCTTAGGCCTTCTAACACTGAAATGATGAATGAAATATTAAATTGTCATATGAAATTATCATATGAAATATGAAATTATCATATTGTTACTTTAAATATGCTTTGTACATTGTTTAAAGTGCTATCAAAACAACAGAGAGAACTTAATTACCCTACATCCTATGCCACCCTATCCTTAAAGATCATGACAGACCATACCATGGTTTGACCAACCATGGTTGCTAAATAAATAAAATACTACAGAAAAACAACCAAACACTACTAGAAAACCACCTTCTTGAACCATCTAGGCACACACCCCCTCATCCTGCCATGCACTGGCAGGCCTTACTTTGTCAAACACGGCTTTACACCTGCAAAATCCTAAAACCACAGCAAAGCAAAAACTGTCACAGGGCTGAAGTCTTTCACTTAAAGCCAGCAACTGTCCTGTGTGCATTTTGGGTATCCTGTTCTTGGCATTTGGTACTCTGCAAACACAAGTGATGTGCAGAAGAGCTGAGGTTGAGTAAGTTTATAGCATATATAAATTTATAGGGTGAATTTTTCAGGGTGTCAAGCTGAAACTTTCCCCTATTTTGTCATTATCCCTGAGGTTTTGAGGTGGCAGCATCCATAGGAAATCGAAACCTCAGTGCCTATAAATAAAAACAGGAGGAGAAGAATTTCTCTATCCATGCCATCTGGAATGAACACCAGCAGGTAAGCAAGGTAGGCAAGGACCAAAGTCAGCAGCTTATGCCTGTCACAAGTGTTTTGGGGGTTTTTTTTGTGTCTGCCCATTCAGAGAAGGGACAAAGGAACAGTGCCAGCACATCTTTTGCACAAAGAGCCACATGCAGCTTTAACATCAAGGGAATGAAGCTGTGTAGAGATCAGAGGGCAGCTTCACCCCAGCACTAAGAAAGGTCCACTGGAATTTGAGTCAGGCACCTTCTACTTCAACCCAGCAAAATCAGAGCTATGCCCTTCTTCCTTGCCTGGGAATGGAACAAGTGTCAGATCCCAGAGAGCACACTCATTTTACATGTGAGTAACAACCTCTTAACCAAAAGCATTAAGAAACCCAATCAGAAAGAACACTTTGTTGCTGAGATGATCTGAGGAACGAGAGAGATGGCTCTGAGGTACCACCAGTTCTGGCCAAACGTGCATGCCAGGATGCTCCTGGAAGGGATCAGGGGCTAAAGATGGATGCTGCCAGGTAAAAATGAGCTCCTGCACATCAGCAGGAGACTGCAGGACTGCCACAGAAACAAGCCATCCCATAAAAGAACAAGCCAGCTTTATGAAGCCTGCTAAGCACGCTGATCTCATCAAAGCCACGTTTCACCCAACAAGCCTTTGCTCACATCCATCATGGAACTTGTCCCAGCCAATCCTTAGCTCACCATTTCAGCTGTTAACAGAAAAAACTGAAATCCAGAAATACTCTTCCATTATCTAATCTGCAGACAGAGGAGGAGGTTGTTGTTTTGTTCTATTCAAACCTACTAAACAAATGAAAGCAATGTTTGTGCCTTAGCACAAATGGCAACAGCAGGCAGTTTAATTGTGGTTCTGTTGCCCAGTGGCTGTCAGTAGCCACAGCAAGGGTTCAGTGTGGCTGAGTTATCTATGCTGCTGTGCCAGTACCAGTGCCTGAATGTGAAGCCAGCACCTGAAGGATTTCAACACAGATCTGGTATCCTAACACAATGAGCTGTGTGCAGTACAGCGAAATCTTTCCAAACAAACTGATAATATAACATGAGAAAAACACCAAACAGCTGGCTGAAAACCCTCAGTGTCCTAATGAGGTCTCTGTTCTTTTCATAGACAGAACTGTTCTGGTTGTGACAGCTGACATGAACAATAAGACTTTTCAAAGCTAGGTTAGCATGTGATTCAGAGAAAACAGAAATTGTTGTGGCCAAGTGCTCAGATGAGAGAACACTCAGAGAGCTTTGTCTAGCCAAAAAAAAAAAAAAAAAAAAAAAAAGCAGTACTAGCTAAACTTGTTTTTATGTTGTCATCTGCTAATTATTTTCATTTTTTCTAAAAAGGAGGTATTAAAATGCTCTGGCACTTACCCACACACCACCAGTTCAGGTAGTTCATGTTCTCTCACAAGGTGGTGCAGGGTCTCTCACATAAACCACCTCCTTTTCCTTTTAATGGTCTCTGGGATAATTCAAAAGAAAGAGTAGAAAGAGCCTGGGCTAGACAGGCTTTGTGCTCAGTGGAGAGCAGCCCTCTGCAACATCAGCTCAGATACAGAAAGGGCAAATGGCACCTCACAGAGGATTTCAGCTTCTGGGAAACCACTGCTTCAATCTGACATCAGTAAGGCTTAGAAGACACCTGCCCTGAAGCCAGTACTGCCCTCAAGGACTTGGAAGGGAAACCTAAACAGGGGAAACAAACTGGTCCTGGGCAGCAGGCACTAATTTATCTCCCACTCTGAGCCAATGGAGTACTCCCAGGCTGCCAGTGCAGGAGCTGGAGGTGAATCCCCAGGCTGGGAAAGAGAAGAAAGGCAGCACAGCTGCCCAGCACCATGGACTCATCCAAGCCTGCCAGGACACACAGTGCTTACAGAGTCCTGATCGTTTGTGTGGGCGCTGAATTCCTCTAGGAAAGGCCTTTACTTGACAGCCCTAATTCCAAGTAGATGAAATTTCCTAAATTACTTGTTTCTCCCCTCTTAAGTGCACTTGACAAAGTATCAAACACAAAAACCTGATTTCCATAGGATTAATTCTCAAAATAATTTCAAAGAATATTATTTCTGTTCTCTAGCATCAAAACTTAAGTAGAAGAGCTACCTCTCTCATGTCAAATCCGGTAGACAATGAAATAGCTCTTAACACAGAATTAATCCCACTAAACAATTTACTTTTATTCATAAGGACAACCCTGTTCTTGGCTCTATTTAAAAAGATAATCCAGAACAGGAAAGTGACATTGGATAACCATTTACCTGAAATCTATGTG